TTCCCAACCCCCTGCTCTAACGACTAGACCCTACTCCCCTCCCAGAGCTGGGGAGACAACCCAGGAGTCCTGGTTCCCAACCCCCTGCTCTAACGACTAGACCCCACTCCCCTCCCAGAGCTGGGGAGACAACCCAGGAGTCCTGGCTCCCAGCCCCCCGCTCTAACGACTAGACCCCACTCCCCTCCCAGAGCTGGGGAAAGAACCCAGGAGTCCTGGCTCCCAGCCCCCCCGCTCTAACGACTAGACCCCACTCCCCTCCCAGAGCTGGGGAAAGAACACAGGAGTCCTGGCTCCCAGCCCCCTGCTCTAACGACTAGACCCTACTCCCCTCCCAGAGCTGGGGAAAGAACCCAGGAGTCCTGGCTCCCAGCCCCCCGCTCTAATGACTAGACCCCACTCCCCTCCCAGAGCTGGGGAGGGGACCCAGGCATCTTGCTCCCCTCTCTAGCACACTCTCCACACCATTTATCTCTGATAGGGTTAAAACACCCTCTGCACTCATGTGACAAGCCAATAGCAGCCACTTTCCTGTGATAGACTCACCAAATCACCGGCCATGTTGGTCGTGGTCCGGCACTGTAGACTGGGGTGTTCTGTCCGGGAGTCCAGCTCTGCTCTCTGTCTGTCGCGTAGCTCTTCTGAGGTATCTTTGCCTGTGAGACATCCCCTCTCCTCCCCCCCGATGGAAGTCAAGATAATTATAGCTTGAGAACAAGAGATGAGGCCCTCTGGGGAGCTTTCACTGTTACAGCTGGTGAGAAGGTGTGAAAAGTGGACAGGTGGGTGAGCAGAAGGGGCTAAAACGGGGGTGAAAAAACAACCCTGATGTGACTTTCACTTGTGTAAACTTCCCCTTTCAGCCCGTTTTGTTTGTTTGTTTGTTGGTAGGTTTCCCCCAGAGATTCAGTTACGAAGGCTGCAGAGCTCAGAAAAGATTGAGGTCTCCTGGGGGTGGAGGGGGTGGGAGGTCTCCTGCCATGCGGGAGGGTGAAGAAGGAGACTTTATGGCTGTCCTGGAACTGGGAATAGAACCCAGGAGTCCTGACTCCTTACTGGATAGATTGATAGTGGGTGTGTATGGGGATAGACAGATGTCCTGTATATAGTTTCACACAAGTATCCTGTCTCCCTTCTAGCATCTTTTCTTTCTTTTAACGTCTCCTGGCAGTTTGTCTTTATTATACAAAGGGTCTCTTCTAATCCTTGCTCCTGTGAAGGTGGTGAGAAGTAGTTGGGTGGTTCCTCGCACCATGACTGGTGGTGGAATGTCCACTGCAATTTGACGTGTTTAGAACTCATCGATTGGTGGAGTTTCAGGGTACAAGAAGGGATCACTGTGGTCGGCATGTCCCCCGGCAATTCCTGGCCCAAGCCCCCACCTTCTGGTCGAGCAGCGCAGTTAGAAAGAGAGGCCGAAGCTGGCTTTAAAGACTCCGAGTCATGGAGAGTTCACCACAGTCCAGAAATAAGGACTGCAACCCCCCAAATACTGCAAAGCCGGGAAAACCACCTGGGAGTGAATATTTCACCCTCAGTGAATCTCCCCTGGACCTGTCAGTGTCCTGGAGAGGCAGATTGCAGAGCCCAGATGCCGAGGTGTATGGTTTGGAAGATCTGTGTGCACAGAAGGGCAGGGACCGGAGGAGAAAGTGCGTGTTGAGTTGTCTCATCCATCCATGACTCATGGAGGGCTCTTCCCTAGCTTCAACTAACGGTCAAATAGAGGAAGGGCCTTAGAGAGCTGGCTTCAGTTCTCAGATCTACCACAGACTCCCTCTGTCACCTTGGGGAAGCCACGTCATCTCTCCAGGCCTCAGTTTCCCCATGTGTTCAATGAGGGTAATGTTGCTCACTTCACACTGGAGAGCTGAGGAGGGCTGGACTCAGGTTGTGAGGCGCTTGGGGAATATTTGTGCCTTGTAAAGGACCAGAGTCTCCTGTCAGCATCACTCGCACAAACCCAGAGCTATTCCACCGGAGTTGCTCCAGGTTTACACTGGAAGAGCCGAGGTCCGAATCCCATTTCTCGTGTTTTTCGCCGAGTGCTAGGACACCCCTGCACAATGGAAAGTGAAAGGCAGAGAGAAGGTCTGCGACCGGCCCAAGGTCCCACAGCAGCTGGGAATAGAACCTGAGTCCTGACTCCTTTTCCAGTGAATTGACCACTGGGCCATACAGCCACCGGGCCATAGAAGGAGGTGGATAGACGGATGTGGGTTGATCAGTGACATGGTTTTCTGATTTCCCCCTTTTGATGGTTTCTCTTATATTCTCTTTATCTTTCCAGCAAAATCCACCCCCCCGTCCATCTTCCCCCTGGTTCCCTGCTGCACCCAGACTGGCAGTGCTCCCCCGGACACAAGCCTGGCCTGCCTCGTAACTGGCTATTTACCATCACCAGTGGCCATCAAGTGGAATTCTGGCAAAGTGACCCAGGGGGTCAAGGATTTCCCAGAGGTGACGATGAGCGACGGGCTCCACACCCGGAGCAGCCTGCTGATCCTCCCTGACAGGTCCCGGCAGGGCGACACCTACCAGTGCGATGTGATGCATCAAGGCACAGCAAAGACAGTGTCGAAGACGTTCCCTCGGGAATGTAAGACATGCGGTGGGGGAGGACGGGACAGCCAGGCTGAGATTTTCAAAGGGCCTAACGGGTCTGGGAGCCAGTTAATCTTAATCCACATCCCGTAGGTGCCTCTGGAAAAATCTCACCCTGAACGACTGGGGAAAGTTTGGCCCAGTGTTGAAACACGCTGAGCCCTGGTGCTTTGTCACTGCAGAACTCCTGCCTCCAGTGCCCTCTCCATGGACCCCTGAACGAGGAAAACCTTCGCGTGAAAGGCACCCCTGGGCAGAGACCTATGTTCCACTAAGGGGGAGAGTTTTCAGCCCCGCCTAAAGGATTTAGGCACCTGGTTCCCATGGCAACTTGGAATGCAAACCCCTTAGGCACCTTGGGAAATCTTAGACACGCAGCTGGGCTGAACTGGCACCTAAGCCCCATGCTGGCCCTTCTGTACAGGGGAAAACTTCGGCTCACCGCCCAACTCCCTCCCCCTCTCCCTCACCCAAACCCAACAAGGTGGGTTTTTTTCTAGCGCTGGGAGGACTGTAGGGTTAGTGCTCTCTCTGGAAGGGGACTGGGGATCTACAGAGCGTGACACTGGACTGTGTTTTCCCCTCTCTCTGCTCTCAGCGTGTGGTTCGACAAGGCCCCCCGAGGTTCACCTGCTGGCCCCCACCTGTGAGGACAGCTCCACAGAGAGCCAGCTGGAGCTGGTTTGCCTCCTCCTGAGCTTCAAACCCGGCAATGCCGACGTGAAATGGCTGGTGAATGGAAAGGAGAGCAGCCCCCCCACCCCGGCCTTGTCCTCTGCAATGGGCACAGACGGCTTCTACATGGGGCAGAGCCGCATGAACGTCACCAAGCAGAGCTGGGAGAAGGGGGACGTCTACACCTGTCAAGTGACCCACCCAGCTGTGGGAACAGAGCTCTCCATGCACAACACCAGCAAGTGCTTGGGTGAGGGGCGTGCATGGCAGGGAGGGGGGGGGTGGAGAATTACTCAGAAACCAGCCCTGCCTAAGGGTAGGTGGGACTGCACCTTGACACCA